AAATGCTGCACTAATAGCTTTAACACATTATTCATTATCACATCTAGGTTGAAATTCATGCATTTTCATGTATGAGATTTTGTATTCTATGCAGAGGTCCAACATATGGTTACAAAAGGAAGTTGGCACTTTGTTTTGAGGAAAATGGCTCTTCTAAAATTGGGGTTAGATTTGATGGAACAATTCCCAGATTAAGTGCCCTCGGGGGCCTCTGCGAAGAAAATCATGGTTTCTTTTGTGCCGGTAATTATTTCTTAACTGGTTGTCTTCTTATAATTTAAACCGGACCAAGTCTTGTTAGTCTTGTTCACATGTTCTTCTCTCTCTCTCTCTTCTTTGCAACTGAATCTCTTCAACCTCAAAGCTTCAGTTCTTATGATATTGAGAAGCTTGCGATTACTGAACTCTTTGAGGTATATGTTATTGTATGTTAAAATTATAAGCCTGGTTAGCCTGATAACATGTTTTATTTTGATTCATATCTATATTATCAGCATAATGCTTATGCAATTTTTTCATTCTTTGTAGGTTGATTCTACAGAAAGTAAAAGTAGTTCATTGATTTTGTTTCTTAAAGACAGAGGGAAGTGCATAATGGGTGATACCGATGCATATGCGGTCTTTAAAACTAAGCTTGACACTTTACCAGAACATGTTGCCGTAGCTTCACATACTCAAACTGACAACTGAAAGGAGAAAGTAAGTTCTAGTTGTATTGATTTTTATTCCGAACCATTTACATGTATACGTGTGCACACATGATTATGCAGAACTGACTCCGTAATAAATGTATGTTTCAGTTCCATCCTGGTGGATTGCTGTTTGCCAAATTTAGATGCAATCTGAAGGCATTGCTTGACCTTGCCTTCTTGATTGTGTTGCTTACTTTCCTTTCTTCCTGTGTTCTAATTTTCCATATTTTTATTTTTAGTTTTTCCAACGGAAGTAGATTTTACCTTTAATTTTCTCTTTTTATTGTTTTTTCTTTCTGTTTATTATATTTTTGGGTCCGGGTTGGACGGTTGAGGACGTGTACGGGGATACTATATGTGCATTCAAGGCTCATGGTTTTTCTCTAGATGTCTGCATGTATTCCTTTCTGCTCCTGCTTTGCTTTTTCTTTATGTGATTACAGTTATATAAACTTGTGAAGCATTTAATCAACTTAATACTCAGGTTCTGAGTTGATTTTGTTTATTCTTAAATGTGGTTGATATGATCCTGCTGCAGCAGCTGTTCGACACTCAGAATCAAGGGCAAAAAGAGGACAGAAAAAGAAAAGGAAGAGATGAGCCGGAACTGTAATATGTATTCTATAACTGAAGTGCTGTAAATTCAAATACACTGTAATAGAAAGATAGCAGAAATATGTAAGACTGATGAAATGTATTCCAACTCTAATGCAAAAGAAATAAGAGGTATTTGGCATTCTGGAGGCCAATTCTCTCCTCTAGATCCTTCTCCATATTTCCCTGCATATGGCTATTCTCTATCTATATTTATAGCATACTTGTAACTGCTTTTCCCTAACTAATTTTACCCTCTAACAGACTTTAGTTTTCCACCACTTGCATGTTATTCTTCTTCTAGGTCCTTCTAGATGGTAGGAGTGGGCACTTTTTCCCAGAACCGATGGAACCGGACCGGAACCGTTTAGAACCGGTCGGTTTGGTTCCGGATCTTCTAAAAAATAATTTGATTTCGGGACAAATTTTAAGAACCGATCGGTTCCGGTCCGGTTTTTGGTTCTAGTATGGAAACCGCAGGAACCAGACGGTTCTTATTCGATTTTTTTAATTTTTTTTTGGTAAAATATATAACTCAACCTCTAACACTTTTATAAAAAATAATTGGGTTCCTTCTTAATTTTAGACTCAACACTTTCCTTCTTCTCTTTGATTCTTTCATTGTCTCTTCTTATAATTCTTTGATTAATTGATTTATAGTCAAATTGAATATTGGGTAAATCTATGTCTAAATAAATTTATTTACAATATATAATTTCATTTATAAGATGTGAAATTTTTGTTTTGTTTTCACTTTGTAAATCTATACCTAAATAAATCTTTGAATAATATGTTCGGTTCTTCTATATTTTGTTAAAAATATCACGTTGGTAGCATTTTTAGAGTTTTTATTAGTGAACATTTTATTTTGACATTTTTAATGTAAAGAACCAGACCGAACTGAATCGGAACCGATTGGTTTGGTTCCGGTTCGGTTCCACAGTTAGCTATGGAACCAATGGTTCTATTTCTAAAATTCCCATTGGTATTCGGTTAGGTTTGATTTCCTTTGGAACCGGATCAAACCGGACCACGCCCACTCCTACTAGATTGTGTGAGTTGGATTGGAGCCTATTAGTGGACCTCCTTGATATGGTCCCTCTACCAGATGTGGATGGTTTCGTCTATTTCCTCATGGAATAAATATGAATGCTCCAGAAAGAGTATTATTCCTTTTCATCATCGTACCGCACATCAGTTTGCTTGGATTCTCACTTTTCGTGCTGTTAATTTCAAAATGAATGTGAGTACGTTGGGAGGAGTGACTACAGGCATATAGTATTCCAAGTGCAAGACTATACACTTATTTTATTTGATTTTGTTTTGTTTTGTTTTGTTTTTTATTTTTATTTTTGCAATGAGTCAAAAACACCTGTGATATGAAGCATGCTCATGCAACCAGGTTACAATGAAAATGACCGATTTGAAGCCTAAATTTGATAAATATATATCTTTTTTTCTAGGATAATTTTGGTAGATTGCATAATAGAAGTAAAGAGACACTGAAGACAATGAAGCAGCTCAGCTGTCTTTCTCCAAAGAAAGTGCCTATACAGATTCCTCAGGTAAATTTAAGTTGGATTATATTTACATGTCTTTTGTTATCGTTAGCCGAAAGAACTTACTGTTGCTTGAATCTTATAGGACGAGAAGGACTATTACACTGGAAACAACAGTTGGATCGCAATGTTGACACAAGGAAATTAGAGGCAAACATTTGTAGCATTCACTTAGTGAGTCCTTCTCTTCTCATTAAACCTCCATATATATCTTATTTTTTACTTTTCTTAGTTTTATGAGAAGCATTGTGTTAAACATCCGCGTGTTCTTGCATATTATAGCAATTTTTTCATATTAAATAAATACAGCTACAGCATACTGAGAGAGAATTAAATTTTTTTTTTTTGAGTTACATGATGGAGAGGCTGTTCGGATGTCCTTTCCACATGCATAGTTTGTTTTCCCCATTTTGCACCAAGAAAGAATTGAGTGAATCTTCTATAAACGGAGTGTGGATTTCAAATGTTGCTGCTATATCATTTTTGTTTCACTGTTTTCCTCATCTCCATCTATTATCTTCTGTCATTCTTTTGGCTTACATGATATGTTTTGAGATGGTTTTGGTCGTCCTTGTGATGCAATGGAGTGCAAAAGCTATATCTAAAAATATACTTTATTGTCCTGAGACTTTTCTTGCTAGCTTATTTTTAAGGAAATAATAATTGGAACGTTGATTGCGTGTTAACATGAATGTCAGGATGAGCTAATTATTTTGATCTTGACCTAATAATTTGTGATTCTCTCTTTTCTTCTTGAATTTCAGGTCCTAAATCGAATTGGCATCTTCTGCACTGATCTTGAAACTTTATGCATTAAAGACAAAGCTTTAAACTAGTAAAAGTTAGTTCATACCCCAACTTAAAATCTTCAGATTTCACTATTTTTGTAATTCGAATTTGAAGTTAGTCTTTCTGATGGTGATAGATATTGAAAGGGTTATTGGTTGGGCTGCACCTGCGAGTCATCACTTTGTGCAGTGTACTGACGCTTCAATCAAAGAGTCCAAACTTGTCATCTCAGGTGAAAGGTGAGTTAATAATTCAACCTTTTTGTGTTAACGTTGTTAGTTGACAGTGTGTTTAAGTCAAATAAATGTAAGAAAAAAGAAAATATCACGACTAGCTGGGGGTCAAATAGGATTTTACATTTTTCTCCTGGTCTTCTATTGCAGTATCAGATATGGATTCAACATGCTGCATAGCATTCAAAATGAAAACAAGAGTTTTGAGGAAATCTCTCAAGGTGTACCCTGCAGTCTATCTTAACTTCACCTTAATTTAGTTTCTGCCTTTCATTTTTTTCTTTTTCCTCCATATATTATAACATGATAGAGTCCCCTGCTTG